ACTTCATTTGGCATTGTTTTCTCCTCCTGATACGGCATATGGAATTACAGAATCTCACCACATAACAGTATGGAAACTACAGAATAATTCTACTTACTGCATAATTGACTGTTAGAGGAGATTAAAGAGAATGCCTTTCAGTTTCATTACGTACGTATATCTCAACATACTCAGATGCAGAATGTTAAATGCACTTTGGGGAAAAAAAAAACACTGTAAATGCTTACTAAAAATAGAGTCATTTTAAAGATTAAGAACGGCAAAAGCAAAGGCTGAAACCTTGCATTTTGCTATAGACAGACAGACCACAGCAAGAGGCTTAACAGAAAAAATCAGTATTGTCCCAGTAGCTGTTTTTCAGCTTTCTTAGCTTTTTCAATCAGGATTTTGAGTCCTGCATAACACGTCTTCTCGAACATTTTCGATAAAGAGCACAACTTAACAAGAATTACACATGCAAACTGTGATCTTTGAAATGCTACAAATCACCACAGGATTTTCACATTGGGGAAAAGAAACGTCATAGGTCCAGAATAACATGAATTCAATTAATCTCATTTTTTAAACATACAAACAGAAAAATAGAACAGGATAAAATAGTAGACGCTGATGGACTCCTATTAAATACACATCAATAATAACCTTAAGAGGAGCACAGAAAAAAAGTAAGCAAAACAAACAGCTGAACCTTATAAGCTTCTCTTCACTGTTTCCTTTGCATTACCATTTTTAGCACAGAGTTTGTATGCCTCTAATATAAATAACAACATCTGCCCTGTTTATTCTCCATGAACAAAAGGCCCTATATGGCCAGAGGCCCTCACGAGAGCTTGCCCTAGCCAAAAGATGTTGTGAAAGGGAAGGATCTACCCAGTAGAAAATACCTTAAAAATTTCCATATGGAAAACAAAGTTGTCCAAAAGGTGCCCATGTAAGGGATCAACTGCGATGTGGCAATTACTGGGAATTGCAAAGAATTGTTTACTCTTCCACTGAAGAGTTTAGAGAAAAAAAAAAAAAAAGAAAAATTCACCATGGCAACAATCATACTTCACCACAGATAAAGCATCACAAGCTACAAAGTCTTTTCAAAAAATTATGCACCAATACGTAGCATGCACTTTGTTAGGCTCCTGTATTCACCCCCTCAAAACCTCCCTTTGGACTCATCTGGCATTTGCTTCTTCACTCGGTACCACTCATCACCCGCTTCCTTCCCTCATTTCCGTCCCACTCAGATCTCATGGCTCGGGAACCGCTGAAGGAATTAATAGTGTTAGTCTGGGCAAGGGATTGCTACCAAACAGCTAATAGAGACGGCTCGTGTCATGCCATCATGCTGCACCTTAATGCCTCCCTGCGACACGCAGCCACTCGTGTCACTGCTGTAACCGTGCTGTGGCTTATGAGTCACTACAGCAAGAAGCCAAAGTGGTCTCAAACACAAAACAGAGGAGCAAATTTTCCTCTTAAACACTTTAAAGCTTCCTAGGGCTGTATGAGACCTAGCTACCTATGAGACTAATCAGTACAGAGTACTTAAATAGCAATAAATTACTATTATTATTTGACTTCTGCCAACTCCATCACTAATCTGGATACACCATTTCTTTATTGCAGATGCAGTGGTGATATATGTGCCTTAAATCTCTAAATAAGTTACCAAACTAACTCTAAGCTCTCTTCTACACTCACCTCATACCAGAGAGTACCATTTAAAACAGGACTGACTTTCATCTTGCTTGCATGAACTTCAAGAGCAGCAAAGCGCAGCAGCTCTGCCCTGGAGGGCGCGCGGCGCTCGGCCAGCAAAGCCGCGGTGCCAGAACAACGGGCAGCGCCTCGCTGCAGTTCCCTGCCACGGGCAGCGCAGCGGGCCCGGGCGGCAGCGCCCGAGGCGGCGCCGCAGCCGCTAGGTGTCAGGAGGAGAAAGCGCGCGGCGCGGCGACACGCACCGCTTGTGTGCACGCCGGGCCCGTGCACCTGCTCACCACGACCTCCCTTGGTAATGACATCTTTCAATAAAGGCTCGCTTAGGAAACTGCAAAAACTTCAGCACCATTTTAAGTCATTCAAGTGAGGCAGATGCTCGCACCTTGATGGCTTTGGGGAAACCTGGAGTAAGTGGCTGAGCACAGGCACGGCCCCGATGCGCGTGGACGGCTGTGCTGCTAAGGCACATTGTGGAGAAGGCAATTACGGCGYGTGTGACAAAGACTGCCATTCCTAAAACCTGCCTTAAGGCAGCTACAGAAACACGTACCTGCAGCAGGGAGCAAAACCGCATTTACTATCCTATAACATAAATCCTTATGATTAGAGTTGCAGCTTTCTTTGGACATATTTCTTAATGCTAAAGTGCGAGTTACTGGTGTTCTCAGAAAGTATAGGACAACAGTAATTCAGATTTCACAGTTCAGGTACTGATATGTATATACAATATGGAATCTAATAATCTTTTACAACCATTAAATCTGTAATGGTTTCAAAATTGATTTTTGACATGAAATGTTTTGAAGAAATGATGACATCCTCCGTGATGTGCACAGACTCGGTACGAACCCCTCTCCATGCTCTATTTCTCTTAGGATCACATCTGCGTATCATGACCACTTTAAACATCTATTAGCAGAGAGCCCATGATAGCAGTGTGTGGAGCTGATGAGCAAACAGGCAGTAACACTGAACACAACTGCCCTGTAAGAGACATAAAACGGGAGAGCAGAGAAATGGGCTCCCAGTACAGCATCCCCAGCATAAGAGGCCAGAGACAGTGCTTTAAGGAATAATATGCCTTATTACTTACAAAAGTCACAATGCTTTGCTATTAAATTTCAATCATATTTTCTGCTATGAACTTCGCAAGTGTATTCTGTAATTGCTTTGCCTGCTACACACCACTGGGATTTTGCTCTCTTTTTAAGATTAGAATTTCCGAGGATTTTGGACATTTAAGGTTTGCACGCCAAGAGCAGCAAGAGCCTCCTGGCAATTGCAGTGAGGCCCAGCACGCTGCAGAAGGGAGGCAAGGCAGGTGCGCGACCCACGCAGGATCTATGGGGCGTCAGTGGCAGAAGCAGAAACCCAGGGCAGGTCATTCACCTTGGGCACGTCCAGCACACGAGAGACCTGCCATGTTTTGCAAACTGCCTTTACATAAATCTTACTAAGAAATAAAAAATCAGTAATTAATTTTTAACTTATAAAAGGACTTGGAAAACAAAGCCTTGAAATTTTCTGTTTCCTCATCTTTACAACTCTATTTAATTATACATTTGAACAACCATGGTTAGAGGTTTTATTTGATGGAATAATAAGGAAATGCAAAGCTCCTCAGGTCTGCTGGCCCAGTAGGGATGGGGATCGTAATTTTTAGGTGTGCGCCCCTGTCAACTAATTTTGAATTTTCATTTTTAACATTCAGCTCTCAAAATATCAGATGGTATTTCCAGAAAAGCAATTTAAATTTTTATTTTTCTTCATATAACCCTTAACTAGTTAATGTCTTATGCACATCCCGGCGAGCACACACCAATATTCCCAGAGTTGCCTGGCAACTACTGGGAGGGGTGTGAGTACAGAGGCTGGGAGGCTGCAAGGAGCCGCTGCCTCCGCACACGGATAAAGGGGCTTAGGCCAGGCTGCCATGCAGCCTCATGTTTGTTATTTACATGCACGACCATTTATACCTCTCTATAGTTTGCATTAGATACTTTGCAAGAAGCATAACATTATGGCATGCAGTCATACCCACTAAAAGCAATGCCATTTATTTTTTCCTGCACACACCAATAATCCTCTACACATTCCCCCAATAAGAAGGGGAAGGATTCATGCTGAATTCAAAAGTTGCTTTTGAACATTGAATATGGCTCATGGGAATGATGCTTATTTGATAAGGATAACTGTTTTAAAATTCAGACCAAACTATTATTCTCTTCTGGCTTTAAAAGCCCATAAAAATGGCAAAAAGTCATCAAAGACGACATTTATGGAAATACCATCAACAATGATAGCAAAGGTATAGCCAGTCCTGCTACATCTTTAGTCCAACCTCTGGTCTTTCCCTCTAATATCGTGATTAAAATTACTGTTATTACTTGTCTGCATGCCAGATCTCTCTGTTAATGTGCACAGAGCTCAGAATGCAGAACACAACACCCCTTCCCAGCAGCGAGCCTTCATCCACGCGCCTCTCAGTTAGCCTTCCCACCTGCACTCAGCACTCAGCTCAGCTTCTCCCTGTAGTATTCAAGCTTTCCATAGCTAGCACCAATTTTCCATTCTGCCTCTAACTGCTTGCAAATGAGAGATGGATCTCTACAGAGACCTTGTGAAACAGCCACAGAGCTCAACGGAGCCCCTGAACAAGCCATTGTTCAGATTTATCACTGAATCTGACTTACCTGTGTTAGCTTCTTCTGTGTTAGAAGGGGAAGAAGAAATCCATGATTTCCCTAACAGAACACTTACCATCCATAGTTACAACTCCAGATATTCTTTGTACTTCTGTAAAAAACTGTTTCTTTACTAACTGTATTGTGTCTGAAAATGTCCTGAAATGTTTCTGTAGTTTCACAGTTAAGCATATATTTTGTAAAGATAAGGATGTACTTTACTACTTTTTGGAGTAGTATTTTTATTCCCTTAAAGGAAATTAAATGAAGAGCCTGTTCTTGCAGTGAGAAAGACAATAGTAAGTGTGGACTAGACTGTGTCTATTAATTTATAAGTTTTTGTCAACTCTCTTTAGTTTAACTCTCTATTAATGTCAGTAACTCTCCACAACTTTTCTCTCCTCTTGCTTGCTGCATATCTCTTTTGCTTTTGTAGACTGCAATGCTATCTTCAGTACTGGTTAGGGAGACAGTCACAATACTGACTTAGTGGAAAGTGGATTATACTACTCTTCTTAATTGTTAGTTCTTTTCTTAGCTTCCCTCCCCCTCTCTTACCCTGGCTGCTGATTTACACCTTTTGCTTACTGTTTTCCTACTTACAGGTTCAATTTTCAGTGCATTTCTGTAGCTCCCGAAAAAAGATGCTTGTGCTTTTAGGAAAGCTCTTGCAACACCATCTCCAGTAGTTGTAGAGACTTTCTTCAACCTGTTCTTCAGTGCAGAAACCTGGAATCACACAAGAGGTCTGGATCACTTCTCTTACATACAAAAAGGTTGTGATTTAGTCTGGTATCTCTTTTTTTTTTTTTTTCTCCCTAAAAGCACTCGGAGCTTAGTAACTACTGAAGGAAGGCTGTGCATCTATATGTTATGGTTAGTGACAGCATTTCTCACCCCAAACAAAAGCAGAGAAAGGAGATTAGAGAAGCCTTTCAAAGATTAATATTAAAGCTGTGCCTATGCTTCAATGGTTAGGGGTTATATTAAATCATTAACAAATAGTTGTGTGAGTAGCAATTTGTTGGTGTTGGAGACAGAATCCAAGCTACATTTCTGAAACAGATCTCTCAGAATCCATAGCAATACAAGCCCAACAATCTAGGCAGTGAATGCAGGCTTGAATTCCTTCAAGTGCTTTCAGAGGCCATGCTCATGCCACATGCAAGGTTTGACAGAGGGGGAGATATCTTATGGAGAAGACAGGAAGACGCCAAAACTTCAAGAAGGAAAGCAGAAAGCCAGGAAAGCCCTAATCACCTTAACTTGCAGAAGGGTATAAAGGATCCATATGAAGATATATATTTAACGGAAATAATTATATCAATAAGTAGCAAATTGACCTCTTTTACTCAATTCAAATGCTATTCTGAAAAACTCTACTGCATCAGCTCTATATGCTTCATGCTAAGTTAAAGACATTGTGGGAATATTATTTAAAGAGTAAACAGATTCTGCTGTAGTGGACATAATTAGCATATTTTCTGAGAGAATACACAATATATCATGAACTAGAAGTTAGTTGTAGTTAATTTTCAAATTAACTTTGAAGGTCCTCCCCTTAAAGTTTTCAGATCATTCGATCTCTTCCAAGAGTATATCTAAGACTAGATGATGTCTATTTCCTATATTCACACATTTCCGCCTTTTGATCAAATTTATCACAATAAATATCATAGCTTTTTTTTTAAAAAAAAAAGTATCAAGAGAAAAAACGCTCATATTTGGCTTGTGTATTAATTTATTTCACAGTAAAATAAACTATATAAATAAAATTAAGATTCTTTTCCTATCTAAAGAGGTAGTAATACTTCTTTTAAAATAAGATTTTGACCACTCAAAACAAAGATTATTTCTAGCTAAACAGACACATATACATGCAGTCTACCCTGCAAGTGTTTTTAAAAGAAGATTTTTATACTTCTGGCAGTTCAGGTTTAAAGGTCAGATTTAAACTATCACCATGTTTCAAAATGCAATCTGTGCAATGCAGCATAATGAAATGGTTCAGTAAAGGTGCTAGTGGAAATTCTTTTAATTAGGTCCAAGGCTTTTCAGTTGTCAACATGAATAAAGCAAGAAACATTCTACTGCAAACATAGTGTAGGAAATAAAAATGGATTCACCTTTAAGGAAATGGATTTGCTACAGAGCTTTAGTAGTTAATACTTCTTGCTCTCTTAAAAGCATTTAATTTCCCACTGAGTGGAAAAACAGTACCATACGTTTCCTACTTGTGGTAACTTGTTAATGAATGGACAACAGTAACATAGAAAACCAAACTACTGACAGCCTAAAATATCCATAGACTTGTACAAACTCAAAATACTCACACAACCACAAAATAAGTAGGATCTCGTTGGTGCTGTGTACTATATTAGGCATTGCATCAGGATTTCATTTAATAAGGACTACAAGTTGACAGAGCGAGCTTATGCTTTATTCCTTGTAATATGAAGCTCTGACTACAACTAAGACTAGAAGATGACACTTATTTGGAAATACATGATAAATCCATAAGGTTTGTATATAAAAAAAAAATACTACCCCCTCTTTGCTATTCCTTGCAACACAGACGGTGGTGTAGGAGACTTGTCAGCAGCAGATGCACTTATTGTAATCACAGTCCTTAATAAATCTCTCTCTCTCTCTCTTTTTTTTTTTTTTTTTTTTTTTTTATATTGACTATTTTAAAAGGAAACTTACTTCCCAGGGTGCTCTCAGTGCCAGATTTTCAGGCACTCATCAGAAATAGAAGGTGAGCGAGGGAGAGCTTTCCCGTTCCCAACTGCTACTCCGTAACGCAGCAGTACACACCTTGCTTTTTAAAGGACCTGACCCACGGCACTGGGGAAACGCGACTGCGAGCAGGTACCAGCAAACCACAGCAACGTCGCCACCGAATCCGATTCCTCGGGAAGCGTCTCCTGGCAATCCAGCTGCTGTGACAGGAATGCCAGCTGCAAAGGCCTTTCACTACAGCCCATGTTCACGTGGATACTAGGAGGGAAATCCTGATGACTAACTCATTCCGGACTACTGAAAACCAGCAGTTTGGGCAGCAACGCCACTATCCTGAAACTCAAACATGACTCTAATTGAAAGTCTCAAAATATCTCCAGGGATTCTTTTTTTAATTAGAATAGTCAAGAAAAAAAAAAAAAACCACATTTTTTCAACTACATATGCATCAGAAAATATTTGTCATCTTTGTGGTGTACTGATAGATTTATTCAGCAAAGAAAATTTTGTGTATATTCAAGAGTTCATGGATGTTTGTATTCATTTGCAGAATACTGGCAGAACAGCCATATATGATCACAACACTCAGGAAGAGATTTCTACCTAGTTTATGTGATTATAAATGCATCTATGTAGATATACAACACTAGGGAGATGTTCTCCACATATCCCCATTACCAATAAATAAATAAATAAAAAGTATAATGGATCGGCTTTGGTGTCTCCCTGCTGAGATGAGCAACTTGATCCACTTACAGTTCCAAACACATGATGCATGAAAGAACTGACAGAAATTCAATTCTTGCAAAGAAGAGCAGCTGCTCTCTAGTGGTCAAAGCCAAATATTAAGCAGTCTGAAGGAAGAAGGAAAGGAAAAGACCTAGAAGAGAATACCTCAGCATCTAGGTAACCAAAATAATGAAAGAAAGCTAAATAAATACTGATCTCAAACACTAATTACAAAAAGCAACACTATTCAAGTTAAGTCTTTGTTACAACAAATATTAATCCCAGCTGTATTTATATAGCAGTTGTGAGAAAAAAAAATACACCATGTACGCTATTTGTGAGCCATGCCAGTTAATTGAATTTGCTGGCAGCACTTCCTCTGCTACGCTCAAACATCCTCCAAGATAAAATGTAGCTCTTAAACAGACCTGTGGAAAACTGAATCAAGAATTTTGAACTAATAAAACACAACTCTTTACTGTTATAAAAGTGAAGTAAAAGTAAATAATGAAAGGAAGGAAGTCTCTTAAAATTTATTACATTCCAAAGCTTGAAGTTCTGTGTTTATTGGTGAAGTCTCTTCTGATGTTCTACAGTGCTCCTACAACAGTTCCTTTAATGAAGTCTCATAAAATCTAATATAATACTTGATTGTTGACAAATCATATACATGTCTGAAGCCCAGGACTCACTGCATCCAGACATTTCTTACATAATTCTCCAGGCTTTACAAGCCTGTCATTTCCCAGGCTGCGAGTAATGGCACGAGCGATGCCCAGCTCTGCAAGCCAGGAGTGAAATCTAAACCAAAACTCTATGGGCAGAAAAGTGGGTGGAAGTGACTTTTATAGACCAAACACTTCACAAAGGCCAAGAGGCTCACAGTGAAGGTGGAACTTCTACCTAGAACTCACTGTTTTCTGAGCACAGACAGATCACCCCACTGATCATAGAGAAATGGGATGCACTCAGTGCTCACCAGCGCTTGAGTTTTCCTTCCAACAGGCAAAACTCTTTGTGTACCCCTTGTACTCACTAATACTAGCAAAATATTTTGAAACAGTAAAAGAAGTTCAGATTTCCCCAATCCACGTTCTCCTAAACAGCCATCATCTGACTTAAATACTCCAAACCCAAACCTGGGTTGCTGCAGCATTGCTAGCTTACATCAGCTTTAGCTAATTCTGGTTGGAGACTAGGAAATACATCTGCAAGTGTTCAGACAACTTGGCTTAACACTTCAAAACAAGAAACTACTGAGTTAAAGCCATTTGCTTAAAATAATCAAAGTAACACAGTGATACACTTCGCCTAGAAACTGAGCAGGTCAAAAGGATTTACACTTCTGAGTCCTGGCAGAGCTGAATAAAATCATTTTGTACATACCACATCATTGGGAAGGCTCTGAAGATCATCAAAAGGGGTTTCCAGTGTGTTGGTATCTACATTGAGAATCACCACATCTTCCAGGGCCATGTTTCTCACTTTCTAAATATGAGTAAAATCAAGAGAAAGGAAAGGAAGATACAAATAGAGTTAAATCCTGTTCATAAAGAACTCGAGCGATAACACAGCATCCAGGCATTACAAAATTTCTCAAGCATCTAAAAAACAACCAGAATTCCTGTCTTACTCTCACAGTTTGTTACAGCTATTTATACTTTATAAGTTTGAAAAATTAATCTTCAATTGGTAGACGGAAATTCTTAACCTTGTGCATACTGAAATTTTGAAATCTCATGGTTTCTGTCTGAAATCATTCAAGCAGAGAGTTATTTCAAGCATCTCTAAAAGTGTTCATTTTAAATATGGTCTCATCTTAATTAAGGTATTGTGTTTGCACAATTATTTACTATGCCTAGATACAGCTTTCACCTGAGTCAAAATTCCAAGTATATATTTCTATAGCTACACAGAAATTAACTGAAATAGCCAAAACAGTGTGTCTTCTGGTAGAGTTTTAAGTAAATCAAGCCTGGGATCTGCTCCGTTTTCTGGCTTGTTCTTGCATCTCCTATATAGAGACAATTACAATTGTATTTAAAAGTAATATTCACGCTGCAACGGGTTTAAAAAACAAAAGACACAAACTAACTAACAAAACACATCCCATTCTCTTTAATGGTCAGCTAGATTAAACTTTTGATCCTACCACCATTAATTGAGACAAAAAAGTCTCTAATCTAGTAAGAGTATGTCTTCATAAAAGTACCAGAAAGTACAGAAGAATAGCATAGCCTCTTCCTCAAAATAACACTCATTGGTGCCTCTGATTTCCAGTATCTAAAAAGAGTGGAACGTTGTCAAATTATATTTCCCCGCTTCAACAACAACAAAACAACTGCCAGTATGAAACACAGCAACGTTTAAATATTTTAAACATTTTTTCATATAACAAGACAATTAAATCTTGTTTCTTTTCCCGATGTCTGACTGATGCAGCGGCTAAAGACTGTTTCTATCCATTTAACAGATGCACATTGAAGCCCTCTTGAAATGCTGTCTTTGTAAATTCAGAAACCATAAAAAGTGGAACTATGAAGACGGTAATGGAGGAAACTTCCCAGGGCGCTGGGAAGCACGCTTCCAGGGACGCACATGACTTACGTACCTATAAGTAGGACCAAATGTGAGTTTGCGAGGAGAAAAATGAACGAAAACATATTCAATTTTGATTACGGTTTTGTGGGGTGGAAGGATTTGTTTCCTTCAAGGGAAAGGAACTAAAGCTCTAAGACAATGGCCATGTTAAGCCTTAGGCACCTAAATAATTACCTTCATTTGCAAGGCTCAGTCCCCTGGCTATAAAGAAAGCTGCTGTGTACTCAGGGGTAAAAAACAAAAGCAATGAAAAAACAGCAACAACCTTCAAGCAAGTTTCCTAGACATTTACGTTTGGGTCTTCAGCAAGAAATTTCTCTAATGTTAATGGGAGAATATTCCATTTAGTGCTTTCACATAAAAGGGGCATAAGTCCTGCGTGACAAACCAGGTACTTTCCTCTCCATTTCAGGAACCAAAGGTCACTCTGTTGGCTGCATCTGATAAACTCTAAAGCAATCCAGGAGTCTCGCTCCTTCTGGGAGTCCGGAAGAGCCAGACAAACTGATTTGCTTCTTCCTGTTTCACAAAATTAAAAATCTCACTTATACTCAGAGGAGTCTGAAAAGTTCCAACAAAAAGGTCTTTAGCAACGCACTTAACCAAAGCCAGAAGCTTGTCAAAAATCAAGTGCCAGTAGGACAAGACAGAAGGAATTAAAACCTTCTCTCGATTCCTGCCGAAGAAGCAGCATACATGTGTTTGAACTTGTCAATGGGTGTTTGTATGACTTCAGCGACGAATCTGCACCTTCCCATCAGCAAAATGTTGGGGTTTTCTGCAGCAAAGAACAGGCTTTTCACAAGCAGATATCTGCCAAGGAGCATAGTAGGAAAAGACGCAGCTCAGGCTGCAAGGATTATAAATGCAGATCAACCTAATTCACCTCTACATATGGTCCAGAAATAATTCTAACTAATTATTAAACTCTGCTGTGCTATGCTTTTTCAGAGTGAAAAGCACAAGCTTTTCAAAGAAAACTTCTCAATATTTGTATGAAGGGAGTAGAAACCCCTGCCTATAAGTCCTCAGATTTTAAACACTTGACACTTGCTTAATTTATAGGGTCTAATTTGCCTTGCATTTGAAAAATACACAAAGGCAGCTGGTCACGTTGTACAGACTGACCAGCTCTTCTTTACCCTAGTCTGTTTTTACCATCTTTCCTCTCATCATAATCTTTGATCAAAAAGATGGTTGAAAAAAGACATCAAAAGATACTCGGGAGATTAGTTTGCTGGAATAATCCAATGGCTCCTCTGTTAAATGCAGCCACAGGAGTCTGGAGCGGGGAGAAAAGACCTAAACTGGAAATAAAACAAATTATTCTGGCGTGGGAATGGCAGTAAGGATTCCTGCACTCCCCACATTAAATCCTGCAGCAAACTGGAAATTGTATCATCTGTGGATCATGGGCAGAGTTTGGGTGTTGTCACCCACCGAGGGGCAGCCATCAAGCCACTCAGGTGACATATATATATCTCACATGTTCCCAAGTACTGAAATGAAATTTTAGAAATAAGGTGCTTCCTGCTGAACAGAATGAACTGATTCATTATGTCCACATTTTTTTGGAAAAATATGTAGAGAACAGGAAGAAATAGGAATATTACAGTTAGCCTTTCTAATTTGCTACAGACGGGAGATTTGTTGAGTCAAAAGAAGTGATTCTGTGAAAATGTGCATCATCTACCACAAGTACAAACTCTTCTAACCAGCCTTGCAGAATTCCTTCTAACCATAATTAATCCTCTAAAACCCACCAAATTGGACTAGCAGCTACACCTGCCTTTTATTTTAAATGTCTCTTTTTAAAAGAGTGGAGAGGTATGGAAAGCTGCTTTAACAAGCACACTGAACCCATTGTTTATGGCCTCTATAAACATGGCTTAGTAAGAATTACGGACTTAATCAGAGTGAACTTATCTCCTGGTGAAAAGAGCACTTTAAATTTCAGAAATGGCACCTTTACTGTGAAAATCTCTTAACTTTTCAAACAAACTCCAGGGGGCCTTAAACACCAGGTCAGTAAATAAGCAGCAGTTAGGGCAGTCTGTCCTGCTCACAAGAAACGCAACTTTCAGTAATTTACATATTTTGGGTGAAAGTCTGCAACACCAGAGCAAACTATATTCTATTAGAAATGTTATGAGGTGCAGCTCTGTCTCTCTCTGCTCATAGGCTTAAGTCAACACTCATYATTACGACTAATTCCTGCTTTTACTAAGTGTTACTATATATTATCYCTCTCTCTGCTTTGTATTTTTCCCATTCTTTATCCCAAATCAGACAAGCTGAATTTTTTTCAGAAGTTTAGCTCCTTTAAAAAAATATATCCCCAACCTCAGTAGTTCTCAGGTTTATCCACCTTCCTTACTAAATTGCTGTCAAAAGATGAACCAAGTTGACCATGAGGTTTCGTGAGCACAGGCTAACTACTGTTGCAATAACAGAAGAGAGAAGCTATCACTCCAAATAACAAAAACTACTGTTCTGGTAACTGGTTCGTGGAGCAGACCTGAGCCTGTCCTGCGGCTCCCGGGCAGCAGCCCCGCGGGCCCCGCGCCCCGCCGTGACAGGATAGCGGTCGCCCCGCTTCCTCGGGAGCCCCGCCGCTGCAGACAGCAACGTGTCAATCTGGCTGCCAGAAGCAGGAAAGGCAACGGATATAAAATTTTATTATTTCATGCCCCAACAGCAGCCAGAAGGACTTAATGAAATCACCCTTAGATTTACAATCTGAAATAGCTATTCAGCAGACAAATACGGTTAAGCTGGATGTGCCCCCTGCCCTTTGCGCGCTTTGATCTTGGCACCGCAGGTGGCCGCTGCCCCCTCCCGTGCATCTTCCCGCTTCCGCCGCCGCCGGCCCGCGTGCCGCCCCGGAGCCAGCGCAGGTGACACGGGGGTCCCAGGCAGGACACGCCGCTGCCGCGCTCCCCGAGGCGCCTCCCGCTTCCTGGAAGCCGCCGCGGYACCTCAGTGCTTATTTGGCCCGGAGCCCCCCAGCACCCCCTCTGCTCACAATCTCTTCTTAGATCAAAATATTTTCTTTTTCCTATTGTCCAAGRACAATTTAACTCCTCACACATCCTTCTTTTCTCAACTCCCTGGCATCCAGGTACAACTATAACTTTATATCTCTATCGTTCATAACAATTTGTATTTCACAATATCTGATATATTATCCCTTTATTTAAAAACACAGAAAATGCTTATTCAATYACAGCTAGAAAAAATAAACTCATTTATCAAACGGAAAGAGATGGCAAAAGCTTAAGACAACCCCCTGCCCCTCCATCAAAAAATATAATTAACAATTAACACCCCCCGGAAAGCCCCAGTGGTTAATGAATTCTCGGGGCGTCTCCTGCGGGCTGCTGCCGCGCAGCGAGGACGCTCCGGGCCGCGGGAGCCACGCGGCTCGTACGGAGCGCGGCCTGGAGCCGCCTCTCGGCGCTCCGCAGCTCAGCGGCCGGCCCGGCGCACATCCCGGCTGCAGCGCGGAGCAGCATCGCGCACGGCTGGGACGCGTCCCAGACACACAACGTCTGCCTCTGGACACGCACGTGGAGCTGCGAGGGCTGCACCCAGACGGCTCCTCTCGGCTGCTGGCTGCACACAGCGAGGCAGCTGCGGCAGCCCAGCATAGTAAAGACACGGGCTAGTTCAGTGCACTTCGTTTTCTTAACGTGAATTGACACTGGTGTTTGGTTAAAGTAAAACAAAAATAGTTGCACGTGGAGATTTTTATCATATCCATAACAAAACACAACATGATGCCTCACATGCAAACACATTCTTGAGAATTTTACAAGAATCGCAGGCCTGGCAGCCAGGCAGGAGGATTATCCGCCGGCAGCTCCGTACCTGACGGTTCGGAAGCGCTGCCCCAAGCGAATGGGAACCACATGTGCCCCACGGCCGCGGCAGCCCTAGGTCAAGGGCGTCCCTCCTCCATCAGCCCCGTCACACTAATAACCTGGGTGCAGAAGCCATGGGCTGCGGCACCCACACGGCTCCGCGCCGCTTGTAAGCCCAAAGGTGGCCTCAGGTAGCCTGACCACAGCAACAGCTCGCAGGTAGGAAACGAGCAGGACCACAACRGGACGTGCTCCTTTCATACAGCTCTGCTTTCCTATCGTGCTGTGCTTTATCAGTACTAAGTACTTATCTTCATCTAATATGATTTCAATTAGTTCTGTAAGCAGGCTCCATTACTCATGTGATAGTCCCAGCCTTCTTATCTAACAGCTTATAAACTTTTAGCCTTCTTTGAAGTCACTTTATGGATTGCTAAATGGAAATCTTATAAAGAATGACTAACTAGGTGATGAGAGAAAAGCTGAAAAATAAGAGCACAAAACACAGCTCTGTATTTTCTACCAAGGTTTTCCCCCATAAATCAGCTGGAGCCCTCTGACCTACAACAGGAGATTATCTTATCTCACTGGAGAACATTTCAGTCACAGCAAATTAGATTTAACAGTCAATGGATATGTTTGATATTTTAATCATAAGAAAAATTTGTCATTTTCCATTAAAGTAACTGCTCCKTCTACAGAGCAGCAACATACCCTGGGAAACTGCTGCTGGATTTCGAGATGCCCATGGTCTGAGAAAAGTCTGTCTGTGGAAGATGGAGGTTGTGTTTTGTTCTAAATATTAAAATTATTACAATGCTCCTTCCAGAGGATCTGCTCCAAGACAGCGATCATGCTGACCCACAGAAATGAAACCACAGCTAGAAAACAGTTTTGCCCCACCGTGGGATTTGACCCTCGTGTTGCACCACAGCTTGGCCTGCCCAAGCTGAGGCTTCCACGAATGTTCACACAACTAAGGCAGACTGTGTGGGCAGAAGCGCCAGGGCAGAGCCCGGAGCCCCCTCCAACGGGGCCGGCGAGTCCTGATGTGAGCGGAGACCTGGGCAGCTGCAGCCTGTGAATTAGCGGCGCTCATTTACCCACTTACCTGCCAAAACCCCGGCATCAAACCAAAAATAAATACTGGCTGATGACAGTATCCTTCTAGATGCAGTTTATATAACCGTTTTGATATGGAAACATTATATGGTATATATTTTTAAAACAAACACAACTGCTAGATCATGAGCAAGAATGCTGCTGCGTAACGAGAAGTTGTTACTCTAACAGAACGTATTGCTTTACCCAAGTGAAGAATAGGATGAAGAAAAAAATGAAGTTTTGGCATCAAAAACACTCATCCAGCACTAGCCAAGCTGTGTATTTTGTCTGTGTATACACACAAAATATTTATAAAAGTTGAAAAATACCCATATTCCTATATTATCCCATCTTCTAGCAGGCAGTGGTTTTTAAAATAGATACACCCATAATAAGCATGTGAATGAATATTTAGTGCAGATACAGGACAGAAAAACTCTTGCTCAAGAGCATAAGTATAGGATAGACTGTTTCTCCCCAGACATTACTTTCGTCCCATCTGTGCAGTATCCAAGTGTCATTATGAGAAACCCCTCTAACATAAATATAGGATGTGCAAAAAAAGCTACATGTTGATTTTTAAAATAATTACTTATTCACTAACACATTGTACTGTCATTCATCAATCTGTACTTTTTTACAGCAATACAAAGGGCATCAAAAATCATCTGTCTGTGGCCAGGAGAAAAAAATTTAAAAAGGACCTTTAAAAGGTGACTCCTAAGGAAGTGTCTCAGCATTGGGGAAAAAATATTCAATAACAACTTCATTAAAAATAACTTGTCTCAAAATAGATATAGAGGACTTTTTCTCAAATATACCCTAGCGGAAGAGTATGCTTTATCAATGTTTTCACAGAAAGTAGATATTTTTATGGTCAATACAAGAAAAGATATTTTGATAATACATACTTGGTGATGCAAATCTCAGCAGTGTAAATTTTTAAGCATCCTAAATAAGTAAGCCTAAATGTCCATATGTAGGAGTCTAGAATACAGACACAAATCAAATAATTGTCAAATAACTGTGTAATTCCTACCAATTCTCCTCTGCCACTTAAGCTAAATGCTTTCCAAAAGGCAGCATTTTCTTTGCAGGAATACCTCTTACCACCCTTGGCATATACACGTTGTTCAGACTTCCTGTGTAAAGAGGCACAAGTTAAAAGGACAAGGATTTTCCGAAGGATCTAAATTAATAGCTTATGTTGTCCTCCAGATATTTTTGAAGTCATTCACCGTTTCAACACTATTAGAAGCAAAAGAAAAAGTGCTATTTCCACTTAGTTTTCTTTAACGTTACATGAATTACTCTGAATTGTTTGCATGTTAAGATTTTTGTGAGGGCTGGTTTTCTGCCAGCTTTGTGTTAACATTAACAACAAGTTCCTTGTTTTTGGATTTTTTGAACACCAAAAAATAATTTAAAAAAAAAATTAAAAAAAAATCACAATCTGTCTGCAAAAGTAGGAGGAGATGAAGAGGAAAGAAAGCTCTGTACATGTCAACATTTTGATTAATATCAATTCTGCCTTTCTGAATAGAGAGCCAAACTGAGTAAATAGTGAACTGATTAAATGAAGCAGCAGGATGGGGAAGGGAGCACAACATGAGCTCATCACCAACCCCTATCTGCAAACAGAAAGGATGCCCAAAAGGATACGGTACCAAATACGACTCCTGTGAGACATAATGTTACCGGGTTTGCTTAACATAGTCACCTGAGCCATCCCAAATGAATCAGCACAATTATTTAACTTTTAAGCATATGAGCACATATATAGTTGATGCAGAATTTAGGTCTAACTCGTAAAACTACACATATTCCCAGAAATGGTGAGAAAGACTTACCTCCATCAAACTTAAATGTATTCCAATGAGGTAGGGCATTGGGGCACTGCAAAGAGGAAAAGAGCCTAGCTTTACATTCTCATAACACTGGATCAACACATATGACTTATTAAAATTAGCTATAGAAAAACACAGGGATATTGAGTTAGGTTTTGTCAAAAAACTGTAAATAAACCACAAAATCATATTTGAAACACATTTGGTTAACTTTACTGCTTTTTAAAGTTAATTACTTACTGATTAAGGTAGCTCAGATAAGTAAGGATACTGATTTAGTAAGAATAAAATATGTTAATCATAATTTTCAGTTAAATGCCTAGGCTTTTTCTAAACAGTGGTTTTTAGACAGACTGATCCATTTGCAACATTAAGTGATTAACTTAATGCATATATATCACTGAGTGATATGAAAAATGGCTTTGGAATATTTTGATTATATCCAGCCGTGATCCCCTCTGGTACTCTTATTTATTTCAGAACACTAAACTCAAATACACTAACAGGTTCTTAGGACAAGTTTGTCTTCTCCAGCACAGACACACAACTTGTGCTAGCAAAAAGGAAGCAAACTGAGAGAAAGACTGATCTTTCCTGCCTTCTACTCTGCCATGCTAGCAAATACCAGCAAGGACTGCATAACACGGGAAGAATACTAAGGGAAAGTTGTATCCTTGCACATATTATATCTCTAATATGAAGCTTTAGTGCAGCCCTCCCACTGAACCAAGCAGGAAAGGCTTATATTTGCTCTGCTTATTAGGACACATCAAAGAAGATGCCAAAGCTGCTAATTGCAAATGTGGCATATACTGCCTGTTAAACCAAAGCACACAGACAGACACAACTTTTAAAATAGAGGCTCATTTGATTTTGGATCCASAAGCTCAAAGAGATGACTTTCAAATTTAGATGAAAAACGAGAGAAATGTCACTGTGCTGCCTTGGACGAAAATATCTTCAATAAGAGTTTTTAGAAACCGGTGCCTACGGTTCAGTAGGAGCTGCAGTGCTGAGAGAGCTGCTAAGAGATACTCCCAAAACTCTGCTTCTCACAGCCACGAGAAACTCCTTTCCACATACAACGTGTATTAGCACTGACCATCTTTAACACTCCACCCAAAACTCCTACGCTGTTGGATGCTGTACTCAGGAGACTGGCACTCTCCATGAAAACTTCATGGGTTTTCTTCCTTTTTGAAGCCATCACACACACGACTTGAGAGAGGGGGGAAAACCACATACAAAAAATCCCAAACAACCCCCCCGCCACACACACCCACTCCCTGCTCGTGCCTGTGCACAGCACTCAAGTGACATGTGCCACGTTCCAGCCTACTGAATTGTACAGACTGCTAAGAATATCCTTCCTAGCTAAGTTATTAACTCTTATTTTCTTAGATAATAAAAAATTAATAACTTCTTATTCTTAGAATAAGAGGTTCCATCTAATAAAGCACTTTATGATAGTCCAGAGAGATTGTTAAATGAGAACCTAACTTGGTAAAAATCCACAAGTTCAGCATTACCAGGAGGTCCGAGGTGAGGAGCAGAACCTACAGCCGAGCTCTGTGGCGAGGGTTTTCACCATACCACACGGTGCACTTACTGCATATGGATTGCTGCTCAACTAAGGAGCAGTTTTATTTGTCATTTTGCATGCTTTATTTGTGACAAACACTACCTCTTTCACCCGTATCTCTTCATTTCCAATGGCCACAATCCAGAAGCAAGAAAATACCCAGTAATTTAATATTCAGAGTATAAACCATTGGTGTAGCTGCCAGCTGCACAAATGCTCAACTTCTCTGTACGGCAGCTCTGCTGCTCGAGCCTCCTCCAGCACACGCTAAAACGAATGTGTTTCTAATTAAGCACTTTCAGAAACACGACAGCTTCAATCTCAAAAATACAAAGTCTGAACCTCGGCAGGAAGTCTTAAGCCTGCAAATGTCTCATCTAGTGGGAGCTTGGCGAACGTAATGAGAGGAAGCAGGAAGAGCGCCGTATTCCAGAAAGCAGCCGCTTATTTATGTGTCCAACAGCAGAGCCTGTCACAAGCGCGGGGAAATCGGAATCTGCAGAGGTTAATTAAGTGCATAATGTCCATCTTTCAATTTTCCRGTTTATCAACAAAAATGAATAAATATATAAATAGAGGGATAACTAAGCACTTGAAATCATGCCTCTCCCCTGAGATTTTAGGAAACTACAAGAAAAGATGTGGCTTTGGGTAGGTGGTTTGGCTTTGGGAGCAACGAAACATCTTAATTTTCTAATAAAGGGCAGTACATATAAAGGCAACAAAAATAACTATTACAGGTATTTAAGGGAGTGCATAATGACTGCAATAATCTATTTTTAACATCATTTTCTTGTTTTTATAAACTCGTATTACCAAATATTAAAGGACATCAGCAGGAGCTTATGTGACATATGCATTTGGACAGGCAGGAGAAAGCAGGAGGAATGAATCTGAGGTCACAGTACTATGAAAAATGATGTTAGCACCATTGGTAACCACCAGCTTGGTGGGGCATCTATGGAGCACTGCTTTTTGAGCGCTCCTCCTTGTTCCGAATGAAACGCTGTGAGGGGAGAACCTAGGAGGGAAGAGCCAGAAAGTGCCTAAGACTGAGTGTTAACAGTAACATGATTTTAGATAAAATCAGTGAAGTGATTGGAAGAGAAATTCAATTATTACTCTATATGTCTATTTGTATAAGGAAAATTACTATTACAATTCATGAAAAGTTTGCTTATGATTTATTTGAATTATTATGCGCTCTGTTTATTCAAATGTGCTTTTCATTGAAATCGGAAGCTTAATTTTTTTTTTTTTAATGGGTATCAATACCTGAGTTGTTCTGTGTACAGAATTTACCAAAATTCATGTTGTTTGCCAGGGCTGCCATTATTGTTTGATGATACACAAACAATAAAGCAAAAACAAAAATATTTTAAGGATAATTCATTGCAATGTCTCCTTATATGCCCAAAATGTTAATTAAGAAAATCTCAYGAATAATCTGAATAAAATATAAGTCTGGTAAACAGAATAAATAAAATATACTAGAGATATTACATTCTTCTGTCATCGCTTATCAATCTCACCAAGTAAAGCAACAAACCTTGCTGTGAATGCTGAAGATTCACATCATACCTCGCAATTTGCTTCTATCACCATTTTTGTTTACCATGCCTTAACTATATGCCATTATTTAAACACACAGGTACCACAGTGTACAAGGGAACACTCTCATCCATTCACCCATTCACAGCACACTATAACGTTTCCTTCTAACTGCCGTTCAGGTCCCGAGGCATGAAACACTGGAGCAGTTTTGAATATTTTATTAATTAGATGTGTATTCCTAAGACTTTCCAGACAAGCCTCGTAACATACACCGCTTGCGCAAGGGGAAGAACCAATGTGCACAAGCCTGTGTCCTTCCAAGGCCCGTGACGGGTGACAGACTGCTCTGCAGACAGTTCCCACCTACTGCTTGAGACTTCTAGGCTAGTCCCAGGATTTYGTATAGCCACGACTGCTGGTTCCTCAGAGTTGTGTGATGGCTGCCAATACCCATTAAATGCAAAATCTGAAAGTATCAATTTCTACTACATCTACAGCTTAAACAAAATGCCTAAGTCTTTTGGAACAAGAAGAAAGGTTATTGTTCTTCTTGTGTTGCACTAGTTTCTAATGCAAACAAGGTTATTTATAATCAAATGAGCAATATAGGTAAATATCAAATCATTAAAGTAGCAATGCCTAAGCATGAATATGGATATTGTGGACTTAATGGCTACATGCTGCCTATTCATTACAGTTGCATTTTTACAATTTCTTTAATTCCTTTCCTTAGGCTAACTGGAGACCTCTTAATTATGCTCCCAAGAGGTGGGTAAACTACTAATTGGAAGAGAAGCAGGTGAAATGGAGGGACATTTCCTCTTAAGTGAAAAACAAAAACAAACAAACAGAAAACCTTTAAAAATACTGCAATTCAATAGAAAAGGTAACATAGAAAATCTGGGTTTTACAGAGGTTTGTTGTTTATAGGTACCCAGGGATTTGCACAATTTTGCTCCATTGTTCCATAACAATTGCTTAGCTCACATTTAATAAGTTCATTTCTTGATATATACACACTGACAATCTGTCACTCTTGCACACTCTATAGTACTTGACTCTCTAAGGCAGTTTCTTGATATCTTATCAGATTTCTCACTGAAAAGCAAACAGAATTAAATCCCAAACGTATTTAGGTAATTGATGCAAATTAGAAACTTGATTACATACACTGGAATGGGGCAGCAAACACATAGTTAGCTGTGTGAGCCTTCAGCAAGCACCCAGATGTACTAGGTTGACTCAAAATGTGCACTGAGAAGCTCATGACGAAGGACTTGCTCCCCAAGGACAGGAGTTCTCGTCCTCAGATCCTCTATCCACTGACTTGAGGACTATACTGAAGCTATATGAAGACTTCGAAAACAGGAGGAAGTTTAAAAAATCCTGGAGAAAGGGAAAATTGCACCAAAAGAAACATTTGTTCAGCGGCTRTACCAGTGTGCTCTGAAAAGATAGTTCTCAGAAGGTATTAATGTTGGCTGTAAAGCAATCTTATAATGGACTTGTAATAGAAACAACCAGACATAATTAAAACTAAACAACCTCTTTTATTTTAAATAATCTCATGTTCTTTCCCTGAAGATGGAAAAACCTATAAGCACTAATACTGCCTTAAAGCAGTGAGTATGATGCTCATTTCTCAGTCTTCATAGACAAAATTTGCATTGTTAGAAAATAGATAGACTCTATTTTGAGAAAATAATTTATGGCATATAAATTGTTGCTAATTGATACATTCAAATGATTACAGCGTGTGAYTACCACTCCAATTCAAGTTCATGTGAGGCTAAAGCACTCGGTTGTTGTATTTATGAGCATGTGATTACAGCATGCCTCATAATTATGGGTTTGAATATCGTATTTTTCACACCCTAGGCAGCCGGCTGGTGACGTGCGTAGGGCACTGGGTGCTCCGAGCACCCACCTAGGGTTCCGCTCTGCTTCGTGTCCCTGTTTCCTTGGCACGTGGCCTCTGCGCTCGTTGTTCGCACACCTCTGCTCCCCACTGCGGGATCTGGATTTAGCCCCTTTTCACACGTCCTTGTCAGAAAGTCGATGACTGCCTAATCTCCAAGGCCAGTGTAAACACCTCTTGTGGCGCCCGCTGTTGCCCCAGCCCCTGAGCGAGCAGCGGGCCCGGGACAGCAGCTCCGGGTGCTAATTGCACGGGCGAAGGCCCCTGGGCACCCAAGGCACCTGCTGGCACCAAAAATGCATCGCTCGGCCCTGCCGCACTGCGCCGAGACGGACGGCTCCTCTTTACAGCAGATCATAGTTTCTTGACACCACTCCRTGCATCCCAAGCACAGGCACACACTTAACACCGAAGTCATCTGCAGAGGAACGAGCGTGCTTTAAATCTACACGTTTATCTCCCAGCACTTCACCTAATGCCAGCCCTGTGGTTCCTCCYGCAGCAGCGCTGCACAAGCTCTTGCTTAACGTCGCACAGCAACACCACAGAGCTATTAGCAAAGACGGCAGTTTTAGGGCGGCTATGGACACTGACTGAAAGCAGTGAATCTGAAGCAATGGAATTAAAATTTGTTGAGATTATTTGCTCTCCTCAGTAGCAATTCAATTACTTAACAGTTGTGCTGTGCAAGTGGTCAAATATATAGTGATCACTGATGATGCACTGCAAAAAAAAATTGCTTTACCAAATATTCAGAAAGATCTGACCATCACACCAAGTAATTACCCCTTCAGGGTGTTCACATGAAGTGTTATATGTAAATAACCTATTACCAAACAAATAACATTTCAAATAAAAAATACGTCACAGTAGAGCTCGGCATTTGAGAGACTGCCACATCCTACCTGGTACTGTGACGATCTGGTTACATGTGTGAAATTGCRTTAATGGGAACATTCCCAATTCACACTTTTCTCCAATGCTGCAATGATTATGACCTTTGGGTTTCACCATCTTAATACTCAAAGATTGGCAGTAACTCTATTAGATTCCATTATCAAGGTTAAGTAAACTTAATTGTGCTTGCTTAATAAATCTGTAAGTATCTWTAATTTTAACACTAAACAGATATCCTGATAAAAGATTTTAAAAACAAATGCTGCAACATGCCATAATAAGCGTTCAGGGTCTCTCAAGATACTGGCGCCATTTCATCATGCTATGAAATAATACTTTCATTTACTAGGTGGGTCACTTCCCTAACACACGTATATATTTTTAGACTGACTGTTGCCTTATAAGAGCACTATAAGGCTTACAACACAGAAACACAAGCACTGTTGGGTATCTCAGCGATGCAGACATCTTACCAGCAGTAGTCCAATAGATGCGGGGGCAGAACAGGAATGTAAACATGTTGCCAGAACATCGGGTAGAGCATAGCTGCAGACCCATGAATGCAGGCAGTTAACTGGAAAACACAAATTTAAAAAGGACCATAAATAAGACAAAAAAGTTAAAGCTAAACTAAGTTTAAATAAAGTTAAGAGAAAAAAAAAATGATTGATTTTGCTTTTGTAGCAACATTATGTATTACATAATACACTATGTTCTTGTTAAAAATATATATATGTACATGCTGGTGGGTGAAGCATGAGTGGTTCCCAGGGGTTGCATTGACATAGAAAAAAATAATTCAAAAGGCAGAATTTTAAGCTCTAACTCACAGAGAGCCAAGAGATGTTAGGACACTTAACATTACCTCTATAATTATTCTATTAGTATTTGTATTATCCTTCCCTGATGATCAAAACTTAAACATACACACATTCATTCATAGTTCTGCTCCTGCTAAGATATTTGAATAATAAAAGCTCATTTATATGAAAGTACTATTTTCTTTTGGAAATGCAAGAAAAGAAGGGCTTAATTTAGCAATCTCTAAAGATTTGGAAGGCAGGACCAGATGCTTGACCAAGGCACTTGGATATGGAAATTCTGTTAGAAATGAAAAACGGGCTTTTCAGAAACGCTGATGCTTAAATAGTTAAACTAAAGGTGCAGATAATTTGCAAATTTCTAGTAGTTCTTTACCTGTGTTAGATAAAAATATACAATGTATTTTCCTTTTATTATTTCTGAATTCAAATTAGGAACAATAATTATGATTCTTTTCAAACCTGTGAAATTAAACATTTCAATTTGATTCACGCTTTCACCCAGGGGCTAGTTTCTCCCTTTGTTGAGTCCTATGTGCCCATTTTCACTTACAGGTCACAAAGAAAGAGTGGTTTCACAAAGACTGATATAAAAACTTGTTTTATGTTCCTAAGCACTAAGATGAATCTGTTAAAAAAAACTACCAACAGTTTAGGGAATATCTTCAAACTGAAGCACGGGGTTTTGACGCTAAATGCTAACAGCGAGGATTATAAAATTAACACATCATACAATAAACTAACGTTCTGTCAGCACCATTTTCTAACAGAAAATGTATTAATCTAAATCATAAAACCTCATTGTTGACTTTATTTACAACTACTTTAATCCCATTTTGTTGGCATAAGAGAATGATTTTCTTGAAAGGAAGGACTGTTTGCATCAGCATGTAACCTTTTGAGTAATAAAAACAGAATAGAGTGTATTTTCAAGTAACTGTAAGGTATTAATAGTTCATGTAACCTTTAGTACCTTGTAGAGTTGAGTGTGAGGACAGTTAAGTCGCTCATCACTCAGCTCAGCTGAGGCTGAGCTTTTGAAATGTCACATCCCATCATTGACTACAGACACAATAGTTGTATGGACACATTTCTATTCAGTCTGGAGAATAACAGCATTTAGTCTAGTGGCAGGAAAATGCTAATTTCAGATTGATGACAATTTTACATCTAGGAAACAAAAAAGACCTTACTATTTCAACTACATATCTCTGCAGGAGATATTTTAACCCCCTACAAAAGTCAAAAGCATAAAATAAAACAAATATAAGCACTTACAATGAGGGAAAAACTATGTAAAATTTGTTATAAAATATTCTATTTTCCACAACATCAGCACAAACTCTCCTGGAAATAAAAGTAAAATATTAAAAAGTGTAGGCACACACTATATGCATATATTGTTTTACAATAAAATTTACAAATTTATATCTTAATTTGAATTAGCTTTAGAATTTTATACACAAATATACTACAGATCTAAATAAAAGAATTAACAAAATCCCAAATAGTAGGAAAACAAGTTAGATATATAAAGTTTTGCCTATACTTTCTGCCTGTAGTTTCTGTATACTTTCCACTGCTCTGTTTTATCACTTCGGAGCTGGCAAGAGTGAGAACCCGTGCAGTATTCACTCTGTGGGTGAGCCACAAACATACCAAGTGGCTCAATGTCCTCTTTTCTGTTCCCCATTCCAATCAAGTTTCCAAGTTCTCTTTGCTTTTAAGCTACTGAGTAGTTCAAGTATGGAGCTGGCTATGAAACTTTCATTTTTGTCTTCCATAAAAGCACATTTGGTTCCAGTAGAGTTGCATTAGATGTTGGCTAAGACTAAGATGTTGGCCATTAATTCCTATGCATCTTAAAGTGTTAAGCAATCTGAAACAACATATTCTGTTGAACACTTGAAACAAGCATCCTGCTACTCCCATCTGACTGAAACAGTCTCTAAGGAACCTTGGATTAACAGCAACATTTATAATGCTGCTGATAATTCCAAAGATACATCACCATTTGCTGAGCTCTTTATTACTCTTTCCTTGTGTTTGGTCTTGAACAACTTTGCCAATGCAAATGCCAGTTCCCACTTATGCATTCCCATAAGTGGGAATATGCAAGAACTTCAACTGGGTTTAAACTACAGTTCTAATGGAAAGGGGACCTGGGGAGCAGACAGTGTACATATGCATATGAATATGTTCAGTCATTTTTAATTTAAGAACGCCCGCTATTAGCAGGTGGTCAGTATTTATGGTCCATACGAGATAAGAATATCAGTATGCTAGAACTATAATTAAAGCACAAGTTAGAAGACCCAAAATCTGAATTTTATTCTTTGTTTTTAATTCAAACTTACTGCTATCCAATTTTACTTCCATTTACACTCTCTCTCATGGAGAAGACCCTCCTCTCCCACAGATTAGATAAAAGGTGCAGTCTAGTTCAAAAACAAGCTGCAGTAACAAAGGACATGATTTTCCAAAGTAGTTTCTCTCTACATTCCTAAATCTTCTAAGCTTTCAATCTCTATTCCCCAAAGCACAAGGAGATGAATGGGGAAAAAAATGTTTATTTTTTTTTTTTTTTATATTTGATTTGCTTCTATGGTGAAGAACTGGATTATTTCCTGATATTATTATATAACATGGTTGCCTGTAATAGTAGAGGACTGAACTCCGTAATCGAAAGAGGCCCTTTCCAAATCTCTGTTCCATTGGTTTTAAAACTCAGCAACAAAAGATTAAACAGACATAATGCTCAACACTGCAGACATCTGAGCAGCTGTCACTTATTTTTGAGATGTACTCCCACCTTGCTGTCTGGCAGGAATTCAAAAAACATACCACCGTGGGTAAGCACCACCAGTGTCCTTCAACGGTGCCAAGACAAGGGCTCATGAAAAAGAAATCACGTTTGCTGGAGATCTCACCTGATTAGCGATTGCTACACAGAAAACAAGCACTTAATAATAAGGCAGCCTGAGAAATGCCCAACTGTCAAAACTATAGGAATCCAGCATTTTGAAATTAGATTAGTTCCACTATCTCAGCTTCCTGCAGCTGTTGCTAGAGAATGTAAAAAGATAGCCTGATCAACTAACTCACTTCTCACAGTTTTAACAGTTAATACTCTGAAGAACGTATTTGAGAAAATTAATCAATGGGCTTTTGTCACATGTATAAAACGGTAAGATGATGTTGGATGTCGACAGGCCATTTTCCAGTACGTCCTGCTGCTGCTGAAGGCACTGCAGCCCGGGCTGCGCAGTGCTCCCGGCAGGAACAGGCACCTGCCGCTTCGGGACGAGTCCTCCCCACTGCTCAGAGGCAAAAGGCGAGCAGCAAGTGCTAGAGCGAGTTCCCTGGGAACCACGCAGGAGAGCAGAGCTGTTAGGAGGTGGAGCCCGGCCCTGCAGAAGCTCATCGGGGTGTCTCTGGAGCCCTGGGGGAGGCAGGGCTGGCGCCTCTTACACTGCAAGAAGAGGGCAAGTTCTTCAGCAGAGAGCCTCACAAGGACCGCTGGGAAGTGCTAGCGGTCACAGACTGCCATCCCCATAGCCCACACTCAGCGGTCACAGACTGCCATCCCCATAGCCCACACTCAGCGGTCACAGACTGCCATCCCCATAGCCCACATTTCCGTACGTGCAAAGCCCTGAGCTACGTCAGAAGCCGTTTAGGGAATACGAGTCCGCACACTGGAGGGCTCCGCGATATTGAAGAACCGAAGTGGCAAGCTGTCAGCTTGCAGGAACAAAAAGAAATATCGATGCCAGAAGAGCATTTTTTGTTCCAGACTAATAATTGTAGAATAATTGAAAAATCACAGGGATAATCATCTCAGTAACATCGAGCCAAACAAGCATCATAAAAATTCACAGATCAAGTGACAATCAGCAATCAACCTGCTGCACCCACTGCCACAAATAACATATAGACCTTGTTCAGACAGGGCTGAATGGCAAGTCTCGATGGAAAAGAAAATACTGGATACAAGGAAAACTCCTCTTCTGCTTCATTTCTGCAACAGCATGTAGCCACCATCAGGTGGTCTTTTGCCAGGCACAGTTTTTGCTGCATTCTGGTTCACATTTGGCTTTGCACAAGGAGTTAGATCACAGAGTACTCAAAAATGCTTTAACATGTTGAGAAATTACTTGAGTTGCCATTTGTAGTAAAAGAAGAAAAAAGGAAAAGTCCCTACAAGCACACACAATAAATCTTCCATGGGTTCACTACACATGTTTATAAAATAGATAATACACACAATCACTTTCAGATACCTCTACATCTTATTCAACATAACCATATTAAGAACCCTTCTAATCAAAATTTGGATTTTATATGATTTACTAGAGCATAGGACTCATTCTACCACAAAAGACTTTTCTTTGCTGGACTGTTTAATTTTCTCTCTTTTACCTGATACTATAGTTAAGCCTTAAGTATTATGAAGAATACTGTGTCTCTCAAAAGGAAAAGAAATTACACAGGTCCCTTCTACTTCTTTTGTTAAAAAAATAATAAGGAAAGGAGGAGAGCAGCCCTCCCCCAGGCCTGGCTATACTCGGAGAATCCTCCGCTTGGTACGCTTCCAGTTACAAGGTCTTGGCTTCCGCTGAGCACAGTTTGAAATAAAATAATGCAGCTTGTTCCTACTGCTGGAACACGCAGCACGGAGTGTGCAGGCGAGGAAGAGCTGGCGCCGGCCCAGCGCTTCAAACCTGTCTTACACTGTCACTCCAGCCTTGGAGCAGTTTATATATAAAGTTGTAAGATAAGAACACACAGTATGAATACCCCTCCCCACCAAAGAACCAGACACGCTTTTATCTTGGGCAGAGGCAAAAGAAGAGGAATAGCGGAAAGATAGGGAAGAAAACACAACCCTACTTGTGAAACGGCTCATTAAGGGAGGCAAAGTGACAGGTAAGTAATTCTTCTTCCCAGGCTCTGTAACTAAAGGGAGATTTTCAACCAACCAACCACAAACATTTGGAAATACTTTGCTACTCCTTTCTTCTTCTGTGATAATTTATATTATTTTCATTCTTTAGGTCTCTGAGATTAAATCTCTCTCCTTCACATTTTATTTACTTCCCAGGCTACCAAGTATTTTTGTTTATTTTGGTAGAGAGAACCTAAAATGCTTGGTAGATACCAAAGTTAAGAGTTTGCATTTTACAAGAGTTTTCTTCAATAGTAAACTTCATATTAAACTTAAACGCCATGGTTATGTATGGGACTTGGTTGTAAACAATAATTACTGGCATATCCAAGAGATTATTCTAAATATCCCAGTTTCACTCCCTTTCAACATTATATTGAAACAGTTATTCTGAGATTGAGTAGGAAGCCTTACTCGCTTTCCTTTTCTTACCCTGTATCAACAGATTATTCTTTTGTGCTTTTCATGTGCATTATTTCAGTCTTCAACATTTTTTCCAAGCATTTGATATCTCAAGCACAAAGTATTTGGTGGTCATACAGCAAGAGGACAGATAACAGTACACAAAGGGGAAATGGAAGCTTGTATTTTAGCAAGGACTGTTCAAGTACTTAGTCCACAGCAGTAGAAAACAACATTTATTAAACCATCTTATGTTTGTTATTCATAAAGGAAAGCAATCAATACCCATTTACAGAGCAAATATAATGAAAACTTAACATTCCCTTTTATAAAGAAAATCACAGTCTTATTGACTGATAAACCTTGAAATGTGTAACACAACTCTGAACTAAATCAAGCAGTGTATTTGGTTTTGATGTGCAGCCATTTTCAGAAGAGAGTGCTCTAGTGCTCACTAGCTTTCATCTCCCAGACGGCTGATGGAGGCTAAGTACCACTGAGAACACACCTCAGCAAGCAAAATGGCCAGGAGTCTGGATTGCCACTGCATTTCAGCCCACCATTTGGGTCCATGCAGAGAAGGTCATCAAAAGATCCATCTTTTATCAGTTTTAAATGACTGTACCATAGATTTTTTTTTCTGTTAAGTAAATTCATGAAAAAGGGACTTCACTTTGGCATAATGCACCTAACATCTGTAGCCAAAACAAAACAAATAAAATCTTTTTAATTTAAACATTTGAGGCTGATAGAACTTCAGTTAAAAAAAATAAATAAAATAAATAAAGGTTCTCATAGATTAGTTGAGGTTGGAAGGGAACTCTGGAGATGAAATTGAAATTCCTGGCTCAAGCATAGTCAGCTGGTTGCTCAGGGCCGTGTCCAGCTGGGTTTTCGGTATCTCCAAAGCTGCAGACCCTACATCCTCTCCTGCAGCTCATCCAACTGTTTCACCTCCTCCACAGCTTCTTCTTAAGTTTAGGTGGAATTTGCTGTATTCCAGTTTGTGCCCATTGCCTCTTGTGCTCTCACTGGGTGCCATTAGGAGGAATATCGCTACATCTCCTGTGCTCCCTTCATACTTTTTGTAGACCAAGTACATTTTTGTTTTTACATATTGAAAAATACAGAGATAATGATTAAAAAAAAACTAATTATTGAAGTTACCTCTAATTACTAAAGCAGAGCTTCACCTGTGTTTATTAAGTCCTTCACAAGTAAAGACCTTGTTATGAATTTTTGGATATTCACACATTCAGGAAGACCAAGATCAGTACTCCATGATATTTTACACAGTATTAAACCTTCTTCTTCAAATTCTAGAGAAATTCCTATAAATGTCAATTTAAAAATGTACTGTGAATAGAAGAAATTAGTCTGCCATTTACTTACAGTGCTCAGCTTACTACAACAAATGAGGATGCGGCGTTCGTACAGCATACTGGCATAGAGATGCAGCATGTTGTTGACATCAACTGCTACAAAATACTCTGTTAGATTTCTCTAGAAGAGATAAAATAATTTCTGATTACAAACATTACAAAATAAGCATCCTAAAAAAAGAAGCAAAACAAAACAAAACAAACAAACAACTTAATCCTTCTATTATGCTGCATCCAATACTTGACTTAAGAAAACAAGAGGTCAGGTAATCCTGCCTAAAGAGGGCTTTTTATTTGTAATATCTTTCACCTAATTTGGAGGGGAGAATGACACTAGTCTTTTGAACCCCTCACTTTGGACACAATGAAGTAAAGCTGAAAGTCTGCATTACACTTCACAAGGAGCAGAGCTTACCTTCATGTCAGTGTTGCTCAGAAAATGAAGAAATAGCTATGTATTAATCACTGTAAATTACTAACGGGAAAAATAAATAAAACCAGCTCTACAAGCTCTTATGGCCAGTGCATATCCAGCCCACAGGCCATCTCATCAGTCAGCACCCCTGTCCACACACCATTATAAACACACTGCAACGGTGCAAATCATGTATTATTTACTGAAGAATTATGATGTCTTCTAACAAGTAACAGAATGAAAATTTAAGAATGTGTTTATGTAGCAAACTGGAGAAGAAAAAAACGAAAGGTAATTCACCCCAAAAATGCTGAATTAGGGAATTTGGTTCTAAATAGCTTCTTATGGATGTAAAAGGACAGCTATATAGTGAAGATAATCTTACACAGAAAACACACGTGAAAGCAAAATTAGATTAGTCATGAATTCGAGTGCAATCTTAATCACTGTTAAATAAAAAAGCACAGAAAAGCAAAAAGCAAATTTGATTTAGAATCTTAAAGAAGCTCAACAAAGCCCATTAGCACTTCTGACAGATCCAAAGATAACTCTAAACCCACCAATACTTGGCCTGAAAAGTCTGCCAAGATGTTTCATACTGTGCAAAAATATGTTCCACAGCTTGCCATCCAAACATAAAGAAAGAACTAAAGAAAAAATAAGGGTTGTATTTGGAAGAATTTTGTACTAGTATGTGGACAGACAGATAAAAAATAAGCTTATTATAGTAAGCTTCAAAAACATTAATATAAAACAATCATTCAGGTATTTGTTATAGAAAAACTACAGCCAGAGACAGGTATATTCTAAAAAGAAAGAAAACAGCCAACACATTTTGCCAAAAACCCATTAAACTATCATGTACTTTTTCTGTATTTCTCATCCCATCTGTGCTGATTAGCATGATATTTGTGTCTAAACAGAAGCTGTCTTCTCTAAGGCTCTTCTTCCCCCTCTCTCTCATCTAGCCATGATGCCAAAACACGGTGCGTGACGACACAATTACTGCAAATAATGCAAGTTAAATGAATGCTCAGGTAGCACCAAAACGAGGAGCATTACAGAAGGAGCAGGTAATGCCTAGATTCTCCCAAAGACCTAGATAAGCTTCTGGGCATACATGCTTGTAAGATAAAAAACGTATCAGCTAGTGAGAGGAAAACAGAGACAAGGACTTGATATGCAATTATTCTTTCATCAAGTTTATTCAAGTGATATAGTGGCTTTGACAAACAAATGTACTTTCAGATGGAAAGATTTATAAGGTTTTAGTCTTCTCTGCTCTCAGAAATTTGCAAATAACACCTGTGAAGCATGTGGGATGCATGGCAATGTATTGATACTAAGGAAATTCACGTGTTAGCTCTAAGTTTTATTTATAAGAAAGCTGTCATCTTTGAAGATGAAATTGGGACTTACACATGTATTTTGAAAGATATGTCTCGTAAGTGACAAAACCATGAATGAGTTAAATAAATACAAGTGAAATCATTCCAACTTGTAGTATAATTGTTGTACATTTTGTTTCCTAGGATTTAAGCTCTCTTGGGACAGTAGAGATGGGGCTTTCAAAATAAAATAGAGAAATTGGTATCTCCCTTCCTCTCAAAGCTCAGCAAGCAGGTACAAAATTGCCTTATTCTCCTATGAAAGTCCCATGCCTAAGTCAACTGTTTATTTAGTTATTTGCTATTTAACATCCATAAATGCACTTTTCATTAAATTTTGAGTTCATTTACTTTTCTTCCTCCATTATATAACAACAAATTAATTTGAAGAAGAATAGCTTTAGCAAATGGTCTAAATATAAAGTTTTTTTCTCAACTAACAATGCAATTTCAAATCTTCCACATAACTTAGAAATCTTTTCAAAGGTGAATTGTTAGTGTGCACCCAACTCTTCTGTGGACTGTTAACCAGTCTGGTCTGACACCGAGGCAGATAATTAGAAGTGTGTTAGCATTCCACGTGGAGTTCTGTGCACTTCTCCATTAATCATTACATGCAACTTCCACGTTTGACACTACGAAAACCTTTGCTAATACAGGTTTTAAAACATAAATGCTGATGAGATCTGCAACAATTTTGAATAAGTAGGCCAATCAATTAAAATCTATTTAGATTTTCACTCATTTAAGGTCTTTGTATCATTTTCTAATATGCAGCAATTCCACATGAATGTTGCATTGACAGGTAGATAAAATGCTCATGATGAAGGATACTGTAGATACTGTAGGGCAGTCAGTTGCAATAATTTTTGACCAAAGGATTACATTTTAAATATTTCTTTCCTTACCCTGAGGCCTATACTTGGGAACTCGCACACACGTCCTGGATCACGCGCACGGAGGCAACGCTGGCGCTGCCAGGGGTGCCCGGTTCACCCGGCGGGTGCGGGGAGGCGGGCGCTGCTGCCCGGCCGCAGCCCGCCCGGGGGGCACACCAGCACCCCTCCATGACTCAGGGGGGCTTTGCAGCATCACACGGCACTCCTTCCCTTGAAGGCTCAATGTTCAGCTTCCAAAGGCTCTCCCGCTCCTCCTGGCCCACGGTCTCCGCTTTTATAAGAGCCTTTGATTCCCGAGCATTCGTCATGACGCCTTGGGAAGCTGACTCGCACCCTGCAGTAGAAGCCACCATCACTGGCAGATGCAGCCAGCCACGGGAACACAACTGGCCTCTTGGAAGCAGCCGCTGGGCAGTGTGTGTACTACTAAACTGCTCCGTATCACTTAAAGATTTATTTTAATCTCTGCCACTGACTCCTTACCACCACTACTAGCTCATTTCTCTCCAGCCTACAATTTAGTAACCTGTAAATGCAAGCAAACTCTCTTCCTTGCTCTTCAGATCATTTGAGGGTTATTAAACAAAAATGGTTAGAAAATTTGATGTGATCAGTATAGAAGAGATTAACAGAAAATACTATCCTTATTAACAAGTAACTTCAAGTCTGGATTACTATGGCATAGCTTTAAAGCAGCAAAAAGACTTACATATCTAGTATATATATWTTTTTTCCCATACTTACTATAAATTAACCACATAAAAGTTATTTCAACATATGACAATATTTTACAGAATCTAACATGTTCGTGATTGCTAGTCATAATGGAGGTGGTAACAGTTACCTATTTTCCTGATAACATTAAAAAGAAAAGATGAAGCACACAATCCTCCGCAGTACTCACATTTTCAGGTATACTAGGAAGTTCTCTGATGTCAGGCACAGTAAAGTAAGAGTGCTAAAAAAGAAGAGCAAAATTGGTGATTTTGATATAGTCTATAGTCAAAGAAAACCTAAATTTATTGCTTGGTATTAGTAACAGCAGTTCCTCAGCTATGTAAAAATGACAGAACATTTTTATCAGATACCAAAATGACTTGTCATAGATTTCAGAAGCTGAATTCTCTTCTCTGATCACAAATGCAATACAAAACGCATTAAGATACAAAGTATCATTATGATCTAATCTAATTATGATCAGATTAGACTGGATTATATCAAGTAGTAGATTATCTTGTGGCTTTTGTTCTTCAGAAATGCTGTCCTGCACATCTCCGGCACTCAGCTCCTGACACAGGCCAAGTGAACTTCAGTGCATTCTATAGTTCAAGGTGTCTTCCTAGAGCCCACTGCAAGATGCATAGGGACTATAGGGAACACAACAGCAAGCAGGTCTTTTTCTGATTTAGAGCATTAAGTTTTACTGAAACTTTATAMAGCACATGTCACAGACTTTACAATACTTCATAAACAGCCTGAAACACCAGGTGGGTAAAACTACTACACTGAACACAGAAACTACACATGCAACATGAATGTTTGCTTTTTTGATACATCACTACTTTAGTTGAGAAGATACAATGCAAAAATATAGGAATGGAGACAACTACTATATCACAAGCAGGAAAATATCCAACCTGAAAACAGGGTTGCAGACAGCCTAACTAAGCCGTATAAAGAGAGGCCAGCAGACACAGCCCCTCAGCTCCTTTTCAACATCCTTTCTCGCTTCATTACTCATGACGCGTTTGAGGCAAGGAGAGACCAGCAGCATTCCTTGAAACCACTGGTATGAAACAAGTGAAACATCCCAAATGCTCGCTGCCTTTTGAGACAGCTTGTCCCTTTGGTCAAAACAGGAACGCTTTTCATAGAATAGCTAGCTTCAAAAGGACCGAGGACATTTCTCCTGCCAGCTGGAGACCTAGCGAGTCCAAACAACTGTTACCTGTCGACTGACATTAGAGGGTGAAGTGATGAGAGTAAACTGCTCGTTGCCAAAAAGCACTTTTAAAGAAGGAGTAGAGGAAACGGAGAGAGGGAGAAGAGATCCATGGCTACAAACACCACCAGGTTTCATGTCAATTCTAAATGATAACTTGCAGTACGTTTTGTCTTTCATAAGATTGCTCTCAAAACTTAATTTGAAGATCACCAAAAAACAGGATAACTTCGGCATCCTACCAGTACAATTTGGATCACTATGATTCCACATACACTCTTTCAATGTTCTTCAGGTTTGCCACAAGACATTAAAAAATCTTATTTTTGTAATAAGAAGTGGCGGAAGAGGAAAAGAAATTAGAAAATACAATAAACACTTAATACACAAAATGTACTCAAAATGCTGTTCTGAAAGGCCTGAGGCTTTGCTTTCCAGTCTTTCTCCCTTGCATACTTGCAAAGTCTAAAAGTTTTAAGTGCAGACAATTAAGGTCACGTTGCTGCTTTGCGAACTCCAGTAAGTCACAAATGATATGGTGATAAATCTCCATGGGGAATACACACAATCTTCCTCCTATCAAAGAACAGGATTTCAAAGACATTTGAGGTTAAGGAAGAGAAACAGAGGGCCCCAGATACAAAAGGGGAAGTCCAGGGCTCTATATTCTCAGAGGAAAATAACATCTGTGTACTGCATTCCAAAAGGAAAACTGTTTTTTACTTTTCTCTATTATACCATGTAATGAAAACCAAGCACTTAAATTTATATTTCTCTTGTTTCACTTACCAGTCCAAGATGAACAGAGGATCCTGGCTCAGGGATGTTAAGTTTATGAAGTGTTTCTAGGAGCTCGTTCCTTTGACTATCCTGAAATCATAGAGAGAAAATTAGCAGCAGAACTGTAAATAGGCCATTTGGAAGGCTTTCTGCTAGGCTAAATATGGATTTCTACATTACTGCATATTACAGATCAATAATTCATGCAGTCATGTCTGACATAAGAATCTCCTAAAAGTTTTTATCCTTTCTACCTCATTTGATAGTGGGTCGATGGAGAGGGGTTATGTACTTTTAAAAGAGTACCTGTCCCTTTGCTGAATAATCTGCCAAGACATTGAGCAGCTTGTAGAACACTTCAAACCATGGGAGGTAACTGAAAAACAAGAGGGAAAAGACATATATTTATCTGGTTAAATTTAGTTAAAACTGAGGGTCTACTAAACTGAAGAGAAAAAGTTGTTTTGATTTTGAATACATCTGGATTTTTAATTGCATGACCAGYATCTCCGTTTTTAAATAACTTGTCAATTACAGCTGAGAAATTTTTTTGAGTATCCTGTATCAGCGTATTTAGCCAAACGTTTAGTCTGACCAAATACAAGTTTTCCTGAAGTAAATTTGCGCTCCACTTACAACACCAACTCAGTATTAAAAGGCATCACCATGGAGAAAATTGTTTTCCCTTTATTGTACATTTCCATTCCATAAAATAAGAAGGACGGATGAGACGTTGCCTTGTGGTGATTTGCTACCATACTTTCATGGTATGTTCTTGTTACATCTTCTTTCTAAATGCTGTCAAGGACCTTCTCCTTAGCTCTGATGAAGAGGACGGCCAGTACGTGCGACACGCACATTCTTCTTCAAATCACAGATGCTTTCTGAAGCAAACGGTTTGTGTTTTGATAGTGAGACAGGACTCAAAGTTTTTATAAAATATGACTACCTCCTGACAAGTATAACGAAGTCAGTGCCCCCTGGTTCCTAACTGTACAGCGTTAGTAATAAATGAAGTGAGAAGTTATATATGAGACAGATAAAGTGAACAGCACTCCATCTTTAACATTTGTTTGAAGCTTGCAAATGCTACTGTAAAATGTAAGTAGCTTATCGAAATATACTGATAAGCAACTTAACTTTTCATGTTATATGACAGCATTATCATTTAAATTAATATGCTTTAAGCATCTTTACAAACTGTGGATCAGAATAGAGCAGAAAGACAGACAATTACCACTTTAAACAGCATTTAGTTTGGCATTATATTGTAAACATTCAAGAAGGATTAGTCAGAAGATAAGTTTCTTTCTTTCTGTTTAGTTAAATAAACTTCAGTAGAGTTAAAAGCCATTACAAGAGTAACAAGAAATCCCCTCAGAACCTATCTGCTAAGCAGAGATTAAAAACTCAGTAAACAAATCCTTGTAAGCCCTGCAAGGCACCTCTCAAAAGAAGAGTTGGGAGATGAAAAAGTGGAACACTAAGAAGACAGAAAACTGCCTAGCAATATAAAAATGAAAACTTATTTCAGCCATACACATTTAAACTTCTACACAAAGTTAAATCTGCAAGTTTAATCCACGCGAATACTCCATACAAATTCTGTTTAGTTCTGCCACTCAGTGCTTGGAAAAGAGCTTCTGATTCTCCTACAAAACAGGGCAGATCAAGTATCCAGCAACACAATGCAGTTTACTCCGGCAACCTTTCCAATAGTGTAATAGCTGTCAATAACTCTTCAAGAATTCCAAATTGTCTTGTAATTCTAGTAAAGATTAATGTTAAGAGAAGTCTCTAGCAACTTTATTTCAGTTTGGCATTCCTCTTTGTCACTGCACAGTTCAAGATTCCTGCCATTCTGAAAACTCAGGAAGCCTTAAATAACTAATTTATTCTGCCAGCTTCAATACTTTTCCTTCATGACTTATTCCATGTGTTTACTACTCAGCGGGAAGGAGAGCTGCTCCTCTTAGCCAAAATGTGACCAACAAAGATGCAAAGGATCAAGAAATGCAGTTATCTGAACTTGCTCCTAGGGTTTTGAAGAGAAGAAGAAAAGATGTGGATTTTATCTTGCAAAAAGCAAATCCACTAGACAGTCATTAAACCTCCCCTCCCAAGGAAAAGGATGTTGAATTTATAACCAAAATCTTTCTGTACTACTTGCAACGTAAGTAGCACAACTGGTAGCACTACGGAAGATTTATGGCTTATGACTCGCTCATATTTAATTTGTAACCAAACACTTCCCCTTCCTCTTAGCTACCTTAGAACTTTTGATTAACTCTTGTTTTCACAGGTCATAGGTTAAGCAAAGGAAGGGAAGCGCTCCGGAGTGAGATTGCCCAGAGCACTGGAGCTGGCGCGTACACACATGTGCACATGCACACACACATGCGCACACGTGCACATGCACACACACATGCGCACACGTGCACATGCACACACACATGCGCACACGTGCACATGCACACACACATGCACATGGGTGCACATGCACACACTGGCTAGGCTACAGACTGTTGCATCAAGCCTAAGTTCAAAGACTCCAACCCGCATAAATCAGGTTGTGCCTACAGAGTAAACAGAAATAAAAGGGCAACCTACGATTTTTTTTCCCTGAAAATCCCTTTCCTTCACTTGCCACAAAGCGCTAGGAGCGGCGGGCACTGCGAGGCGAGCGGCGGGCACACAAAGCTGCTCCTGGGCTGGCCGGCTCTGCACAGGCTCCCGGCGCACAGCACCTTATTCAGTAACTCACATGTCATCACCTTTTTAGTGCGCTCCTTGGAAGCACAAAACACCATTAGTTACATGTGTCACAGCAATTAGGGTCAGCCAGGACGTTAAGACAACAGCGCTGCCTCGCAGCCTGTAAATACACGTGTTTGGGAAATAAAGCGGTTAGTGCAGAACCCCAAGTGACAAGCAAAGCCAGGGCAACTGCAAAGACATTTGCTTTGTTTCCTTGTAGACAAAAGCCAACAAATGAAAGGCCAACATTTGGAGGGAAAGGCGGAGCAGCAGCCTGGGATCCACCTTCAGCAGACAGGCGGGAAGGAGGCGGCCTGGCGGGTGCAGAGCCCRTGCCGCGCTCGGATCCCACGGGTGCTTCCAAAGCCACGCGGAGCACAAACGGCAGCAGCCAACATTAGCCGTGATGAGGGTGAAAATCTGTACTGCACTCGAGTAGGCTGGAATTTTTATACATATTCATTTACTTGTGTTTTGATATCGGAACAGAAAAGCCGCCTCTGCCCCAGCAGCTCATGTGAGCCCACATGCCTTGAGCCCCAAAGGGCTGCAACCAAACCCAGGGAAACCGGCCGGAGAAATAAGGAAACTGCATGGACATGCACATGTATATGGCAGGGTATATGGGCGTGTGTATAAACATGCCATAGCATCCAGATATGTATGTATACATACACAAAAACGACAAACTTTCCATACTTCCCCTCCATTGCAAGACTGCCSTTGTCTGAATTGAGCTTTCGTTAGTGGTACAAGATTTATGAGTGCCTCAGGCAATGGAATTAAGCACAAAAGTATATTTCCATGATCTTCCTTCTCTGATTAAACACTTATCACAAAATCATTAAAAAACTATTATTTATCTCCTAAGTATCTTTGAATTGTTTGCAATTTTTTTGAATACCTAATAAGCAACCTCCAGGGACCACCCCAAGGAATGCCGTGTTCTTGCCTCAGACTCAGCAAATTCAGGAAGCAAAGGGTCGGTATCTACGAGCACCACCAGTGACCAGGCTAGGGCAAGGAGTCCAGGGGAAGACACTCACGACTTCCCAGCACTGCTCTGGTGTCCTCACCACCAAGAGACTTTGCAAGTTCAAATTTTAAATGAAAGGTAAACTTTTCCCTTTAAAAATACCCAAGCTTACTTAAAGATTAAAGGACCACTCTAAATAATTCTTTGTCTGCTGCCCTATGTACAATGAAGTGCTCATTTATAAAAACTGCTGGTGCTCAAGCTGCACAAATGTACTAGAGCTACAGTTTTACCTCTGTCAAAACATCATGTTTGCCTTCCCATGAACACATAAGCCAAGAATTATATAGATAAAATATATAAACACAAGAAGAGAGTTGAATTACTGTGACTGCTGATATGTAAACAATGTAATCTGCGCAAAAGGAACTGTCCAAGATTAGAATAAGGAAATATAATATCTCTATAAGAAGAGCAAAAAGGAAATCTTTAAGCAACATATCTATGCAGGCATCCAGTTGATTTATCAAGTAAAAGATGCTTTCTCTAGCAAAACAGCTGTTCCTTATCCAGTCCTGAAGCATTACTAATGAATTTTTACAACAAATATACTTTCTTTGAAAATGTCATCATTATCATTTCTTTGATACCCTCCAAGTGCTCGTTAGAAGGAAGGCAAGTCAGAAATTCGATCTCATTCTGCCCACAGAATTGCACCAGGTGCAGCCAAGGCCAAAAGGGTGTGCAAGCCCGCACAGGGGACCAGCAACTTCATCTCCTGCTAGAAGGGCAGCGCTCCCATAAAGTCAGATTAAAAGGGAGAGGTTTTGTGAGTTCCAGGGTCCTGCCTACACCCTGCAGACCTCAATAAACCCCTCTTGCCTCTTGGAGCATCCCAGACATCCTCGGCTACAAGCTTAAACATAGGAGCACACACAGATCCACCCCGTGATCTCCAAAGCAAGATCAGTGCACGTGGTCGGGATGCAGCCTTAGCTCCAACCTGCAGCCAAGGGCCTGCTCTGGGGCATGAGCTTCTTTCCTTCCTTGGGTGCAGAATTCCCTGCTTTGCTGCTGCATTAGGCTGMCTCCCTAGGAAGGCTCCTCCATTTTAGAGGGCCACCTGAATTCTTCTCTTGCTCTCATAGCATTTCTTTCCTTTCTGCATTGTCCCAATTTGCTCCAAACTCCCCTTTGATTCATACCTAAGTGACCTTTTCATGATGTCACGAGATTCAAGTTGAGCTGTGCAATGCAGACACACGATTCACACACATATCCCAGTTTTTCAGGAACTTGGCTCACATAGAAGTTACTACGCAGCTCTTGCAGCTTCTTCCAGCTGTATCATTGAATGCCAGTAGAAAGAGCTTATCTTGGTGTCTTGTCCCCGCGTTATTAACAATCCAGGTCAATCAGAATTTTCCTCTCCTGTTTTCCACCCAGGGCGGGCGAGCAGGAGCAGCTGCAGAGAGGCCAGACCTCTCTGAGCTCCCCAGGCGCCGACTCTGCAGCCTCCCCAAGGACAGCTCAGGGGCTCAGTACTTCTCTGAACAGCACAGAGGCAGAAAACTGCAACAAAGGGGAGTTCTGATGCAACAGGTCMACTTTTTTAGTAAAGTAGCAGGGTAGCTGGAGCCACT